TTTTTATTTTTTCCAGTTAGTAATTTTAGTGCTTCAACTTAAACTTATTTGAGTTAGTTGCCAAGGCAACATAACTAATTTTCATTTAGGTAAGTTTTTCATCTAATATTTATATTTTATTTTAGCCTTATTTAATTAGCAAAAATGTTTTAATTTTAGTTAATGATAATCCAGGCTTCCAGTTATTTTAATTGTACAAAAACAGTCTTTTATGTTGCTTGATATTGCAAACTGCTATTTCTTATCATATTATTTTAATGTACTATCTTAATTATAAACACATTGGTTTGTAGCACAAATAGTTTTAGCATTTACTGCAGGGTTATTATAGTTGATATAGTAATAGAAATAGTTGTAGAAATAAACTGAAATAAATTATAATTTTTTTTTATTTCAGCTAGTTGCCAAGGCAGCATTTCTCATTTTAAATGAGTTTAACTTGATGTATTAAAATAACTAAAACTGAATAAAAATTAATAAAAACTATAGACATATAAACAAACAAAAAATGACAGATGCACAACAAAGTTACTAAAGCGTTTAGATGAAAGCTGCAAATCTTAAAAATAAAACTGATTTAAAATATGAATAAAAACTATAATACATCTCAATGATACTAAAATAACAGCACTTTTACAGCACTTTCGATTTCTTCTAGTTATTTACCTAAAGCAGCTAATGAATCAGAAGTCTTGCACATTTACAGAGAATAGCTTACTTCCGCGTTGCGAAATAAGCTGAATAAGTGGACATGAATGTCCTGTGAATGTGTGCAGGAGGATAGTGAACGACACCTACAGGACAGACCTGTGTCTGCTTTATCCTCCATTCATGATTGCACTGGGTAAGAACAAACTTCCTACACTTAATCCAGCAGGTCCTATGCTTGCAAACAAGCAGATGATTTGAAGTTTTAGATCTGAATGACTGTATAACAGCTTGACACATCACATACCAGTGAGCAGAGTTACAGATTCTGTCTCCTTCCTCCTCCAGCCTGCCTGCATGTGGCCTGTGTGGTGCAGCAGAAAGATGCCAGGCAGTGGTTCGCTGAGCTGTCTGTTGACATGGACAAGGTAAGACGTGCAGCTGTAAAATAAATGAATGAGTGCTGTGTACATTAACATTGAAGCTTTTCTGGCACAGATCCTGGAGATCATCAGGGTGATTCTGAAACTCTATGAGCAGTGGAAGAACTTTGATGATAGGAAGGAAATGGCTACTGTGCTCAACAAGGTGCCCAAACCCAAACCCCCTCCTAACAGGTACGACAGACTGCAGACCTCAGTTATCAACATCACATAACACTATATTTATTTATATGGAAACAGCCTGGGGTGCTTATTTCGCCACTGCAAAGAGAAACAATGAAAAGAGGCTAATTGTATTATTTATATAAGCTCATTCTGTCCATATCAATGCATAAGGTCTTTGCAACTCATTGCAAATGTCCTGGATGAAAGTACAAATATAGGATTATAGTACAGTTATAGATTTTTTTAAATAAATATCGTAAAGGGTTAATGGCACAGCTTTTACACATTTGCACCACATTTAACGTGGTTATGAAGCCCAATGATATTTTAGTATTATTTATAAACTTTTATAGTATTTTTTTGTAATTTTAGTTGACATTTTACAAATTTTATGTAGTGTTATTTTTATTTATTTTATTATATTTTTGTTGGCTATATAGCTTTAAATTTAAGTTAGTTGCCAAGGCAACATTTTCAATTTAAAGTTTTTAAAATGTAAGTTTTTCATCCAATATTTATTTATTTTTATTTTATTTTAGCTGTACTTCGATTACCAAAAAGTTATTTTTTTTAATATTTAGAAAAGTAGAAAAAAGCCCTTTATTAAAGCCTGTTTTGTTGAAATATTTTTTTTGTCTTGTTTAATTTTTTAAGTACTTTTTTCATTTTTATTTATTTTTTTTATAATTTTTTGTAATTATTTTAGAACTCAAATTTATTTTATTTCAGTTAGCTTAAGTTCAAGTTTTTCATCTAATATTTATATTTTATTTTATTTCACAATTATTTCAATCACAGAAAAAGTTTAAATAGTTTTAGTTTTTTATAAAATGGAAAAGCCCTTTATTAAAGCATGTTTTATGTATAAAGAATTTTTATTTCATTTTTAGTTTTAGTAATTTTAGTACTTACACTTATTTCAGTTAGTTGCCAAGGCAGTATTTCTAAATTTAGTTTATATTTTATTTCAGCTGCCAAAAATTTTTCTCACCTCACCTTTGCGCCTGTATTTTCTTGCTTTTTGTACAACAGTGAGACTGACCAGAGCTCAAACGGGAGTCAAAACAGCTCGTACAGTCAGTCCTAGAGCGGCCCCTGCTGGAGGACCTGAGGCGGAGTGATTCGGAGAGGCAAACACAGCACATCCTGGCACATCTGATCGCTGCTTTTCACAAGCACATTGTGTTATGACCGTGGGGAAACCGATTCCTGGCACACATATCCTCTTTCCTCTCTGGGTTTTTCCAGCAATCAGAGCAGATAGAATGATGCCACCTCCTTCCTTCCTTCCTTCCTTCCTTCCTTCCTTCCACCAATCAGAGCAGCCCGTGTCAGAACTGCTCACCAGTCGGAAATCTGCTTTGATGTAGAGTTTCTTGCCAAGCTTAAGGCTATGGTTTTGAATGTTACGGATACACACACAAACGCACCTCATTGGGTATCTGCTTGATTAAGAGAGGTGCTGTTTTCCCAGATCTTGTTAGTCGATGATCCTGACTTCCTTGAAAAGTCCCATGAAGCTTTCTTTCAGCGGACGCTCTTTGGGATCTAAGAAAACTTGATTTTTTTTCTGTCTTAGAGCGACGAAGAGAGAGTGTGTGTTTAATCGCAAATGTATTTGTATGCGTGCCTCTCGTTGACCATATCACAGTTTGTATTCCTCAGGGAAACGGATCAGTCCTCTCTACAAAGTGGCTGTCTGTAAACTGATTGGCCACAGGGCTATGTGACGGCGATCTTTTGAACCCTCGTACTGTGTAATCAAATCCTGATTGGATATTTGACGTGCGTGTGGATGTGAGTTAGAATGCACAAGTGACACAGATAGTTGAGTTGATCCCTCAAACTGCATTGTAAATATGCTTTCCATATATAGCCCTTGACTTTGTTTTTATCATTTTTCTCTTATTATAAGTTTACTGTATGATTATGCTATATGTGTACTTGCCATAACCCAAATGCTGTGTTTTGCTGTCATTCTGTTATGCTGAATTGATGTCTCTGTAGCTGCAGCACACTGAAGCATCCATCACGTTTAATGGAGGACAAGCCAATATCTTGAGAGTTTTGGAAATGTATTGAATAATTGAGATCTGCATCTTGGGTGTGGTTATCAAGTCCCTCACTTCCCATCATCTGCATCTCCACTGACGTCATTAGTTTGTGGGACACGTAATTAATTGTGGAAGGGCCTCAAAAGATTTTACAGTACTTACATGTTTGGCTGTGTTTTGGATGGCATTTTTGTTTTTGGCTTTGTCTCTCACTGAGGTTCTTTGTTAAGCTGTGCTTCAGGAGTGTTGCCTCATCTTTATTGAGTGAACTTGCATAAATGTGGCCCCTCTCAGTCATGCAGCGTATGTACTATTTGCCTGTAATATATTTGATGATATGAGAGTTGTGGAGGGTGAGAGGGCTTGGAGTGTTCTTATTTCTCTATAATGGAGCTTAGAAGCCTTATTGAATAAAGCTGCTGTTGAAAAAAATATTACCAATTTGTTTTTTGTTTTGGCTTAAAAATAGTGTCCTGTGTTAAAATAATTTAAAAGATTTTAGAACATTTTTAAAACTGCACTTATAAAGTGTATGTGTGTGTATATATATATATATATTATTAAACTTATTTTAACGTTGCATTGGCAACTACCTGAAACTTATTTCAGCTAGTTGCCAAGTCAACATTTCTCAGTTTCATTTAGTTTAATTTGATGTAGGGTGAATTCAGGTAAATAAACTTCTCTTTAAAATGACCAACAAAAATGTCCCAATTATCATGAATTAACCTACTGAAATAACTAACACAAAATGATGAAAAACCTATTTAGATGTATTTGATAAAAAAAACTGTGGCTTAAAAAAATTAAAACAAAAAATAAAACTTAATTTTTCTTGAATTCTTTCTTTAAAATCTCAATGATATTAAAATAACACGGATGTAAATAGTACATAGTAATCCTTTGTCCGTGTGGTTAGTTGCAAAGCTTTCCACTATTTTTTGGAGCAAAAGAATGAAGCATTTACAAATTACTGAAACATTATTTCATATTATGACCTGTTATGAAATTGTTGTTACCAAACTGTAATGACAGCAGTGGATCTGACCAATGAGAAGGGAGAATCTACGCGCACGCCCCGCCCCCCGCAGCATCAGCAGCCCCGCCCCTGGTGATGTGCGCTCTCAGCTGTGCGGTAAACAGCGGCGCGAGCGGCTGCGGATTGATGGCGACTCCAGCGCGCGTCAGGAGGCGACATCTGTCCTCAGACCCTCTGACCTCCACCTCCACCCCGCAGCACTGATGAAGCCTCCTCTGCCGGAGCCACAGCGGGCCGAAGGGCGGATAGAGGAGAGAGATGTACTGGCGCGTCGGCTTCGCCTGGAGCCGCTCCTGCGCGCTTGAGCTGGGCCGGAACAAGAGCTTCTCGCTCGGCTTGAGCGGCTCCGAGGAGCATCTGTCGCTGTACGGGTACATCATCGCCTACCCGCTGCAGGAGTACGGAGGGATCATGTCTGCGTTAGGATTTGACTCCTGGTGGAGAAAAACGCTCTACATCACCGGGGGGGCGCTGCTCGCCGCCGCTGCCTATTTACTACACGAGCTGCTTGTCATTAGGTATCTATCTATCTATCTATCTATCTATCTATCTATCTATCTATAATCCATCCATCCATCCATCCATCCATCTCTCTATCTATCTATCCATCTATGATCTCTATCTATCTATTTATCTATCTCTATCCATCTATCCATCTATCATCTCTATCTATCTATCTATCTATCTATGCAGTACTATTATAATTATTATTGCCAACCATGCAGTGTTTATATATTAGCATTTTATATATAAGCAATGCCTAGACCGTAGTAGTAATAGTAATAATAATAATAATTATTATTATTATTGCTGTCTATGAAGATATTATATTTTTGTATATATATTTAATATTTAATAAAAATATTTAATTTATAATTTTATTAGAAGTGCTGTAATTATTGTAAGTACTTATATATTTTTAAATAAAGCACGGCATAGGTAGGAATAATAATAGGTGGTAGTAGTAATAATAATAATTGCCATCTATGCAGTACTTTCTAGTAGTAGTACTTGAATAAAAACATTGAATGAAAATATTTTATAATAAATTTCTATAGATTATAAAATAAATATTAAAAGTATTATAAAGCACAAGCACTGCTTATATATACTACTAATACTAATATTACTACTATATATGCAGTGCTTGTGCTTTTAAATATATTTAATTTTTTATGGAAATATATTATAAAATATTTTTATTCAGTGTTTTAGATTTAATGTAATATATTTATATTTTAATATATTTTAAATGTTTTAGATTTAATTTATATATATTTTTATTATATAATATTTTATAAATAATATTTAATAATCATATACTACTACTACTACTAATACATTATTATTATTATTATTATTATTATTATTATTACAATCTATGC